CTCCGCATTGTGAATGAAAGTGAAACAGGTTAGAGATCATCAATCGTTAATCTGGCTAGTGGCTAGGGGGAATCATACCTAAGTGAGTTCCCAACCTGTAATTAGATTAACTTTAACTGTAGTTTGCTAGAGTGGTTTTAGTTCTTTCATCTTAATCTGATTTGCTAAATAATAAACTGAAGCTGAGTAATAGTAACTCTAGAGACCCGTGGATTCGATATTTATCACTTGAGCCACTATACTGCAGTCCCTTTCATTGGTTACACTTGGCCTTTGTTAGGTGTTGTGTTTTGGCGTGTCAAGTTTTTGGCGCCGTTGCCGGGGACTTTCTAGAGTATTAGGAAAGGCAGAAGTTTGTTACTTTAGCGTTTTTCTTTTCTTTTCTTTTCTTTTCTTTTCTTTTCTTTTCCACCCTTGCTTTTCACTTGGGTGTTTTTGTTTTTGTTGGTGCAGATCTGAATCATGGATCCTAATGGCTTCTCCAATCATTGGGGGTATCCACCACCATCTGGGTGGTATTACCCCGAGACTCCCTGGAGCAATCAAGGCGGAGAAGACTATGGGTTCGGGTTCCAGTACCAACCCCCTTACTACGGAGAACAACCGGACCCCTGGGCATATCAAGAACAATCTCATTATCAAGAAGAATTTCTCCCACAACCAGAAGGGCCATCGGCGCTGGAGTTACTCATGGAGCAGTTTGCTCGAGACTGTGAGAGAACATGCTCCAGGATGGATCAGTGTGTCCAGGCCTATCGTGAAACAGATGAGATCCTCCTGAGCCTTAAGAAGAGCGTCGATGATCTTGAGCGATCTTGGGCGCAACCTGCTCCAGATCACCCTTCTGCTACCATACAAGAAGATGAGGAGGAAGAAGAAGGCTACAAGGACATTGTGGAGCACACTGAAGTTGTCACGGAGAGCTCCCGTGATGATCATGATCAGGAGTGTCCTGTCGTAGCCGACCAAACCTTCCCACACCCCAAACTGAGCTTTGAAGAGGCGGGCATGAGTGAGGAGATGCAAGAAGATCTCATGAAAGAAATTGCTTGGCAACTTGCTCTCCAATCCGTGCTAGAAGAAGAAGAGCAAGAAAGGGTGCAGAAAGAAGTTGTGGAGGATGACGAAAGTGAAGCAGGAGGAGTTCTTGATCATTTCCCAGGGGTGATACCACATGAAGAAGGAAGGGAGGTTGAAGAAGCAATTGGCGTCCAGGCTGAGGACGGAGTTAAGGTGGAAGAGGCCTGCACTGGCCATGAGTTACATGTGATATCTCCACCAAACCTCGAGGAACTGCTTAGCAAGGACCCATTTGCAGTGTCTCTTTGCCAGACCAAGGCCACCTCGACATCGGTCCCTCTTGGTGGACGCGATGGTGGCCAATCGATGTTGTCATATCTGGTTTGGGGCAATGAGACGAGAGAAGAGAAGAAGAGGTCTCGAGGGCGGAGACTTCATCTGCATCAAGTACATGAGCCTTCATCACCTGCCACACCACATGCTCATGACTTGAGACTCCACCTCATCGATGAGAACCTCAACTTCAAGGAGGTTCTAGCATGGACCGAAACTTAGGAGCCATCGTCCGGCTCACGACGTGAAAGAAGCGCTTGTTGGGAGGCAACCCAACCAGTCGGTTTGCATTTCTTTCTCTATTTCTCTTCGGTTGAGTCAGTTTTGTTCTTTGATTTTAGAGTCAATAACTCAACCTTTGTGAGATTTTGTGGTGTGTTTGTGTTCTGATTACTCTCTCTTCCTGGAATGCACTGCCTGACCCGTACATCATCATTCACCCTTGATCTGGTAACTTCGTTCTACCCCCCTTATCTTTCCTCCATTGAGGACAATGTCGTGCTTAAGTGTGGGGGGGTGTTCGATTATGTATGCGGGTGAATGTTTGGCTGTTTGTGTGCTTGGAGCCTAGTCCACTGTCCAAATTTTTAAATTTGAGGGCTCCAAGTACGTGTTCCATGCAATTGCCTGCTCAGTATGCTTTGAATTGACAGTCTTTACAGTAATATGCAACCTAGGGAGGTAGTGTAGCACTATGGAGGATGTTGATGCATTTAAGAAGTCTCATTTCTTCTTCATATAAAGTTGGTTGATTGAGTGAATTAGTGATCTTAGGACCCTTGAATTGTGTGGTGTTGTGGATTTTCTACCTGTCATGGACTCTTGTATCATGTTTTGAAAATAACAGGTGCTCGAAAATGTGCTTCAAAATAAACGTCTCCCGTGCGAATAGGGCGAAAGTGTGTAAGGGGAGACGGGAATCTGTTCCCAATTTCCACCTACTACCTCCAGCCCCCTTACATGTCTTTCCCCCGCACGAGGCTCGAGACATCCGCTCCTGGCATGGCCGGTAAGAGCAGGTTGGGACCCTTGAAAAGAAAAAAAGAAAAGAAAAATAACAGAAAACAAGCCAAACAGAAAAAAGGGGTTCCAACCATCTTCAAAGAAAATCGAGCACCTTGAAAAATGTGAGTCCATGATCTTTTGTTTTTGAGAATCTCTTCATCCACAATTCATTTGTCCTCTGTTCACTGTTTGCCATGATGCCGACTGACCGAAGAAGCTATGAGATGACTTGTGCGTCGGTTGACCTCGTAAGCTGCTAAATGATCTAGGAAGTCCTCTACCTACGATCTAGGTTGTTTGTTGCTATAGAGGTCTGGAGAGTTGCATTGGTTTGAGTTAGGTTTTCTTGGGGACAAGCAAACGGTTAAGTGTGGGGGAGTTTGATAACGATGTAATTGCACATGTTTGCGCCCCTAGTTCTTATCCGTTTGAGGGGCATATTCGTGTGTTGTGGCCTATTTTATGCTAGGTTGTGTTCCTTTGTCCCATTTCAGGTTCTAGCACATAAAGTGAAGCATAGGCGCAAGTTTCAAGTCAATCAGAGATCAATTGACGATTCGAGAGAGGAAACTCGGGCATGACCTGAAGAAGAATGGATTTCTACCTCACTTTATGGACAAAGAAGCATGCAAGCTTGTTATGAAACGAAAGAGGACGAGACTACGAGCGTCTGGGATCAAACGGCGACTGATTCGGAGTCCGGACGAGGGAGAAACGAAGCATTAAACAGAGGCTGAGCAAGCTGCACGGGCAGACCAGGGAGGCTGCACGGCCGTGCACGTGAGCAATATGGCCGTGCGCCTTATGCCGAGGACACGCACGGGCAACCCCTGAAGCTCGCACGGCCGTGCACCCTGGCCGTGCGAGAGGGCTGAAGTTCAACTAAATGACACGCTGCGTTTTGAGTTGCACGGCCAGAATGGTGATATGCACGGCCGTGCACCCTGGCCGTGCGAGTCGGGAAATCTGGTTTTAAGCCAAATTCCGAACCAAAGGAGAGGAGAGCTGGGTTTTGGATCCCAAACACCCAAGGGACGAACCCTAGAGAGAGAGGGCGATTTGAGGGCATTCTTGGAGTAGAGAAGGAGGATTTCTTCACCTTGGAAGCTCGAGGAACAAGCCCGGACTTGAAGACTGATCATCTGAAGATTCTTACTGCAGTCTCTCTCTTCTCTATGGAGTAACTTCCCTTCACTTAGGTTTTGAGGAACCCTAGCTATGTTTGTTTGATTGGATGATTGTATGAGTACTCTGACTGGATAATCTTGAGTTCATATTCAATCTATGCATGTTTTCATGATTCAATTCTGCTTTAGTCGAGATTATTGATTCTGCTTTGATCCTATGAGAGGGAATACCTGATTAGGTCAATAGAGCACCATAGATTGATAGTAGTGGATCGATTGCTTTAGTCGAGGGTTGATTCACTGCTTTGTATCGATTGAGAACCTCTTTCGATAGAGGGAGTCTAGTTCAGAACGCCTTGATCAGTTGTTCTAGAGAAGGATACGTCCCTCTAGGCAATTGACTCAAGAGGGCCTTGTTCCTTTAGTCGAGACTCAAGGTCTAGTCAAGGATTCTCCGCATTGTGAATGAAAGTGAAACAGGTTAGAGATCATCAATCGTTAATCTGGCTAGTGGCTAGGGGGAATCATACCTAAGTGAGTTCCCAACCTGTAATTAGATTAACTTTAACTGTAGTTTGCTAGAGTGGTTTTAGTTCTTTCATCTTAATCTGATTTGCTAAATAATAAACTGAAGCTGAGTAATAGTAACTCTAGAGACCCGTGGATTCGATATTTATCACTTGAGCCACTATACTGCAGTCCCTTTCATTGGTTACACTTGGCCTTTGTTAGGTGTTGTGTTTTGGCGTGTCAGGGCACATGAAGGGGAGGACATTTCCATGAATAAGGTCGATTGAACCAAGGTCTGCGGGTAGGATAAGGGGTCACAGGTATTTTGAGCAGAAGGTTGTGGGGACAATGGGGGAGAATAGGTAGAATCAAGAGGGGTGCAGGGTACCAAATCCGAATCAAGAGGGGTTCTTGTAATTCTAAGGGGGAATTAAAGGGGAATTGGCTAATCTGGGGAGCTGCAGGTTCAACTGCAAAAGGGTTCGCAAATGATTTAGGAAGGGGGTTAGCAGCAAAGGAGAATTGAAAAATGAGAAAGGTGAGGAGGAACATAAGTACTGTCGAGGTTGAGGATAGTGAGCTGAAGCCCCAGACCAAGATTGAACCGGACTGCTCGGAGAAGAGGTTGGGCCCAAGAGTTTTCGACCATGTACCTGAGGGATTTAAAACTAATTCCAGACGGACCAAAGGCCCAATTAAGTTGCCCACCCCAATTAGGACTAGCCTTATCACAGAGAGTTAACTCATCCTTCCTTCCTTGCCGCTTATTTGGAACACTCAGCCCAGCCAGTGTAGGAGACTTATTGATCCAAATCGGCCCTTCTTTCCGAATCCATTGCTTGAGACTACTAACCCTAGTTGTGAACGTAAAATTTTGCATGGAATCCGAAGCGCGACCCAAGGAGTCTTTTCCATCGCACATCCAAGTGCTCGAGGAGGCCAAAGTAGTTGCTTTTAATGTATTGCCTGGAAGATTGAATCGACCCTTGCCCTTCCACTTGGATAATGGATTGCGCTTGCAACTTTCCGACGGATGCTCGCCGTCGGTACCAAGATCCTGACCGGAAAGGTCTTACCATTATGATATACCGGAACTTCATCTGGTATCTCCCTGACCGCCCGGATTCTGATTTTAATGAAGGCAGAGCTCCAGGAATTCCAGTCGATATCGATGAACTCACCGAAAAAATCACCGATGGACTTGAAGAGTTGAGCACTCTTAAGATGGAGAGGGATTCCATATGCCAGAATCCAAGTCACATCTTGGAAAGATATGATGTTGCGACCATTTTCCGAGTTCCAGAGGGAGAGAGTAATTCTAAAATTGCTGAACCGAATGTCGCCGAGCTCCTTAATGTGAGCAGCTTCGGATGGACCAGGGCAAATTAGTAACAATCCCCGTCAGATAGTTCTTCCAATCCAAAATTTTCGTTAGTTCGCCAAACCTTGTTTGCCCAACACCTGAACTCATTAAGCTAATTGCGAGTGAAGATTTCTGAATCCGAAGAAAACCTAATTACCAGGCTTCTGCCAAGAAGCTAATGTCTTTCTTTCACTCCATCATCCTCGACATTAATAAAGCGTTCTCCCGCGTGGGACTTAATAGAACACTTTCCTCTGCCATAGAAGCCTCCGTATATAACTGCATCAGCATATGAGATCTCCGGAGAAACCAACTGAGGTTGAGTATGCACAGGCACATGAGTAACTCTGGATTGATGCTCTGCCGAGTAAACATCCCGAATAAGATTAGTGAGCCTGGCCCAACCTATCGTCATGTTAGCCTGTGGGATGACGATCTTGTAAACCTTCCCATTTCCGGCCTGTTCAGATATTTGAAGGTATGTCCCCTTCCGATTGGTGCCCTTTCCGACATGGATCGAGCGCGAGCTGCTTGTCCTGATGCATCTACTAGGGAAGGACCAAAACTTCATCGTCGCCGTTTGCAACACACCTTGAAGCCAAGATATCTGATCCTCGTCCATCGCGATGCTCCATCTTCTCTGACCTTCGTTGAGTTGGAGCTTATACAACCATGCTTTACCCGCTTCAAGTCTGTATAATGATACAAGTCTGGATCCCATTCGAGTCTGTCGCCGAACTTGCTCTGCCGCGCTGCTTCCACGCTGCCCATCCAAGAACTGATACCTGTAAGACAAAGGAAAAGAAACACTCTCGACCCTACCCAAATCTCCACTCTTGCTACTTACTTTCGCAGCGTTCAGATAGCCGCTGCAACTCTCTCTCTCTCTCACAAACTATTGAATGTTTGTAATAGTTTAGTATGATAGATTTTGTACCTTATCTTCTCCAATTAACTATCTCTAGAAAAAAATGTATATATTCCCAAATCAATCAAATCTTTTATACAAAAGAATATTCATAAAAAGACAAGGGAATTACTTCATATCAGATTTCATATGACCAATCCATTTTATTAACAATAATGAATCCAAATTAAATTACCCCTACCCCACATTTGTTTTGTATGCACAGTTTTGTGTACTTGTCCTCTATATATTTTAAGAAAGTTTGAAGAGACCTTATTGGAAAGATCGTATCTATTTCAAAATCAATCAAATCTTTTCTACCAAAAAACAAAGAATCAATCAATTTTCACAATGATCAAACTCGCACTGTTAAGACATGCATATAATTTTTCTAAAAAAAAAAAAGCACATGTATATAATATGCCTCAACGGATCAACAAAGAAATGGCAGAACAAGAGAGTAATACACGTGATCATTACCCAAGACGAACAAAATTCAACATCTAACAGTTCCAAAAAAATATTAAATAATTGGATACGTATGTACCACAAGAGACGCACAATAGCAGGGGTCTATCTGAATGAGATGGATTTGTTTTGGACTATTTTGATAACTAGACCAGTCTATATAACCAAATCGTTAAATCCGTACTCAACAAAATAAAGATAGAGGGTTATTATTTGCCGCCCGGATAATTACTATTTGCAGCCCGTAAAAAATACTAAAAAGATAATTTTGTCCTCCAAGTTTTTATTTATCTTCTATTCGCTGAAATGATTTTTTAAACAACATACACACCACCCGACCACCAACCCCTCACAAACACCATAGTCAGATTCACGGCCACCGAACGGCAGCCTAAGTCGCCGGCCACCAGACCAATCTCGTCCGCATAATTCGCCGGCCACTGGACGGCAGCCGTACCACATCATCGGACCAGCGAATCAGGTAAACCCACGTGACTGACCTCCTGTCCTGTAATTTTTTTGCCCGTCCGCTCGCCGGCGAGCCATCGCTCACCATCTTCGGACAGTGCCCGACGCAGGCGAGCGGACGGGGTCCGACGCCAGCAAGCTGACGGCGCCCGTTGCCGGCGAGAGGACGCCGATAGCCGGCAGTGTTTTGTTTTTGTTTTTTTTTTTAAATTTGAGACATATTATTAATTTTAGAGCTAATAATTAATGTTTAATTTATTGCTTTTATTTCTATTTTCATAGTTAAATTCGGTTGTAGTTTGAATTAAGCGATTGTATTTTGTTGTAGCGCTAATTAGATTCTTACCGTCAAATTATCGTTATTTTTTAGAGTTAATTAAATCATTGCATTTAGTTTAATTTTGTAGAGTCAATTGAAGCACAATTAGTTTAATTAAGCGACTGTGTTTTGTTGTAGCGCTAATTAGTTTATTGTGTTTAGATTTAATTCGTAGAGCTAAAGAAATTTAATAATTTATATTTAAATATTTTTTTTCAAATTATCATTATTTTTTAGAGTTAATTAAATTATTGCATTTAGTTTAATTTTGTAGAGTCAATTGAAGCACAATTAGTTTTATTAAGCGATTCTGTTTTGTTGTAGCGCTAATTAGTTTATTGTGTTTAGATTTAATTTGTAGAGCTAAAGAAGTTTAATAATTTACATTTAAATAATTTTCTTATCGTCAAATTATCATTATTTTTTAGATTTAATTAAATTATTGCATTTAGTTTAATTTTATAGAGTAAATTGAAGCACAATTAGTTTAATTAAGTGATTGTGTTTTGTTGTAGCGGTAAATAGTTTATTGTGTTTAGATTTAATTTGTATAGCTAATTTTGTTTAATAATTTATATTTAATTAAATTTCTTATCGTCAAATTATTGTTATTTTGTAGAGTTAATTAATTTTGTTTAATTTTGTAGAATCATATAATTTGTACCTTTCTAACGAGTTGTAAAATCATAATTGCAGGTGGACATGGCTTACAATGTTGAACTAATTGGTGATTACACAGACCATTTTCTCAATGGCGTCCAATATGACAATTTCGAAGATGTTGTAACAGTGACCAAAAACATCGCGATGTCTCTTGGTTTCTTTGTAACTAAGGGATCGATGAAGCCACGTGAGTTGTGCAACAATAGAGTATTGGGTATGTGTTATTTGTATTGCGACAAATGCAGTAGGGAGAGGAAGTCATACAAGCCGGATCCTTCCAAAGAGAGTTGTGGCAATACAAGTTCAAAAGGATCGGGATGCATGTTCAAGGTTAAAATAAAAAAACTACTGGTTGATCCAGATGCTCTTGATGGACCTTCATTCTGGGAGATACAAGCAGTGATGGAGCAAGAAACCGGTTTAAGGTGAGGGTATCACAATCATGAGAAGATGCTTTATCCCGAGGGCCACAGTCAAATGAATAAATTGAGTCAGGAGGATAAAGAATCTCTGAAGCAGATGAGAGATGCTGAGGTACCTCCGTCGCAACAGAAGCAGACAATAAACAAGCAGAAGGGTGACAAAGGGCATCACACCCAAAGGCAGATGTATAACCTAAGGTCCAAGTCTAGGAAAGAGGAGATGGGCGAGATGAATGCAGTGCAGTATGCGTTGCAAGCAGCTGAACGTGAGAATTATCATACAAAGGTTATGAAAGACGATAACGACGTGCTTACACATCTTTTTTTTTTTGCCCATCCAACTTCCATCCAGATGTTGAAGGCTTGGTCGTACGTGATTCTGATCGACTCAACGTATAAGACCAATGCATATAAAATGTCGTGGGTGGAGGTCGTAGGTGCTACTCCAGTTGGGAAGAATTTCAACATCTGTTGTGCTACTCCAGTTGCATATAAAATATCGTGGGTGGAGGTCGAACTCCTGTCGTAGCAAGTGATCACCCCTCTATCAGCCTCTCCAGTGTACAGACGGTGGGCAACATGCCCAAGGAAGCTACGGAGCAAACTCGGGTCGCTCGGCCCTCCAGCACACGATCTCTATAGATCCCAGTAACAGCAAGAACCCCAGTAACGACATGTGACAATCTGCTGGGGGCACCTCTCTCTCTGATCGGACTTACTGGTGGAATTCGATACACAACAACATCCGACTCATACTCCTCCGACTCGTCATCAATCTCGTCTGAAGGCTCAAACGGTGAAGCATGATCACGATTGGGACCAGCTCCACTACCAGCCATACTAGGCAACTGAAAATCAAACTAAGGAAAACCGTCTGCCTTCAAACTCATCGGTGTCACTAGTGGCTGTGGCTGTGGCCCATCTCTATCATTTGGGTCCCTATTTCTCACACTAGCGCTAATGTTATGCCCAATGAATCTTCTCAATCTCTTTGCAGCTCCTCCAGAACTACGTGACCCTCCAGAATTACCAGGTGACGCCATCTCTAAACATAGTTAATAATTTTCTATTAATATCTTATAAGAAATTATTTGTTGAGCAATTACTTATTGTTTCATAGAGTAATTATGATATATACAATTTGTTATCTAATTAATTTAACTAGATAGTTATTTTACTTAATACGATAGGTAGTTATTTAAATATTTATTTCAACTTACTCAATTACTTAACTAAAACATCATAAATAATTATTTAAAATTAACAATTATTTACAATTTATTCAATCCAATAATTATTTAGATAACTATTATAATAAATTATCTATGAGCATAGTCAATAATTATCTATTAATCTCTTATAATAAATTATTTGATTAGCAATTTTTTCATAGTCATAATTTATCAATTACTAATTATGATACATACAACTTGGTTATCAAATTAATTTAAATAGATAGTTATTTTACTAAATACGATAGATAGTTATTTAAATAATTATTTCAACTTATCCAATTAATAAACTAACACGTTATATAATTAAAAATTAAATATCAATTATTCAACTATCAATATTAAACTAATTAAAATACTAATAATTGTTATTAAAATAAATCTAATAAATACTTATTTAAACCGAACCATTCAAACCGAATCAAAAACCCAAATTAGACCGGTCCGACCAGACTGGGCGGACCGCGTCCGACCAGACCTGGCGGACCGCGTCCGCTTCGACCTGGCGGACCGCGTCCGCTCCGGCCTGGCGAACGGCGGCTAAAAAAAAATAAATCAAAAAATACCTAGACCGAGCTTGGGACGTCGGCGGCGGCGAGAGCGAACGAGGGAGACTCGAACAGCGCCGGTGACACGCCAAAACACAACACCAATCTGCGACCAAGTGTAATCGCAGACCGGGAATGCAGTAACAGGCAAGTTCTATTATCAACCCGGGGTCTAGATCTACTGCTTACTCCGTGATTATTTATTATCTAACCAACTAAGTCGAGTGATTTGTGTTTAAACTGAAAGCAGAAAGAAAGCAGGAATTGATACGGTTTTCTCAAGCAGAAAAGAGTCACTCGGGAATGAGTCCCCCTAGCTCATTAGTTAGGTTTCAATTGTATTTCCCTGGGTTGATTTACTGTTGATTAGACTGCGGAACATCCGATAGTAGCTTGGAATCTCTTAAGCTGACCAAGCCCTCTCAGTCTAACTACCCGGCAGACGACTAGTCTTCACCAGGATAGAAATCTGAAGCAGTAAGAACATAACTCCACTACTGGAATTGGATTCCAGTACAAAGCAGTAAACTGGCTAACTCTCGTATAGCCAATCTCCTACTATCGAATGATGAGACTCTAGCAACCTAATCAGATTCTATCTATCTCAGATTGCAGCAGGAATCAGGAAAAGTTGATCAGACT